TGGCTCTGTTTTCTCCCTTTTCTTCATCCGCTTTTCTTATTTGTATGAAATGTTGTCTAACTATTAATATAGTATAACAACAAAACGGTGTTAATATGCTTTAGTTTACACCACTCTTTCCCCTCCATCTCCTAACTAACCATTTCTTATTAACATTATTATAGAAATGGTATGAAATATAACAAGATTTGGGTGGAGATTAAGATTATATACTACGGTATGCGCTCTCTTTCTCCATCCCTATTAACCATAACGTGTATAATAATAATGTTTTTAAAATATTAAACAAATGATCAACAAAATGATTCATTAAGTGATTAATTTGTATCAAAATTTATGCTCTCTCTCTCTCTCTCTCTCTCTCTCTCTCTCTCTCTCTCTACCCTCAAATTTATCAATAGCTATATTTCAAGAATTTTTGCGTATTGTAGATAAATATCATTATAAGGGAATATTTTTTTGGCAAATTATTATCTCCGCCTTTAATTAACAATTGGGCCCACATTTCAACGATAGAAACGTGTTCTCCAGTGCTCTCAGCACTTGGTTTTCGCTTTTATTTGCTTGAATTTCCCGAAACATACAAAACATTTCTTTACAATTATTTTTCGGCACAAAATGTTTAACTTATTTGAACTTTTTTTGTTTGAAGAACCGTTGGTTATGTTATTTAAGGCAAAAACTGATATAAATTATAAGATATGATATATTTATAACACATATTCGCAGAGAGAATATATGTCGGAAATTCTCACACAAAACGGCAAATGTAATGAATTTGCTGTTAATTTCAAATATAATTTATAATTTTCTTTCACAATATTATGTGTTGTTTTAATTTATAACACATTTTTTGAAAAATGAATGCACGACTCAATCAAAATATATTAATTGCATTGAGAGGTAATACAAGAAAATCGCTGGCAATTCATAAAAGTCTCGTTAACAGAGTTGGTATGATCTGTCGGTTTACTAACAAATGGTTTGATAGGTCTCTCTCTCTCTCTCTCTCTCTCTCTCTCTCTCTCTCTTCTCACTCCCATAACACATACATATTATAAATACTGTATATATAAAAGCGGGAGTTAAAGGAGGGGTTCGTGTATACCATGAGAGTAGTCGTCAAACATTTTCGGCACACAATTTATATATACACAGGTCTATGAGTTATAGGACTCTCTCTCTCTCTCTCTCTCTCTCTCTCTTCTCCCGCTCCCATAACACATACATATTATAAATACTGTATATATAAATGAATGAACTATAAGACGGAATGGCCCGCAAAAAAAACGATATTTTATTTTCGATAACAATGTAGTGAATGCAGTGTTTGAGTGCTTTGATGGCCAAAACGAGGCGATGAGTACTTACCCTCGCAATCGGCGCTTCTCTTACTGTTTGTTCTGTTAATTTCCACAACACAGAGAAAAAACTAACTCAAGAGTCTATTAGCTTTACTTTGTGGCACTCTTTTAGTTTTTAATACACAAATATGTGTATAAAACTTATGCACACATATATTCGTGAGCCCTGGAGGCCATCCCGAACCGGAGAGAGAGAGAGAGAGAGAGAGAGAGAGAGAGAGAGTCCTATAACTCATAGACCTGTGTATATATAAATTGTGTGCCGAAAATGTTTGACGACTACTCTCATGGTATACACGAACCCCTCCTTTAACTCCCGCACAATAGAAGCTTAAAAGAGAAACAAATTACAGCCCCTTTGGATCAGATAAGTTGCGAACGCAGTGTTAAATGGCTTAACGCCCTCTAATACATACCAGTTATTCTTCATCGGTAACTGGTCTCCAGAAAAACTTATCGTTTCGTACAATATATATATAACACGACGTTTTTTGGGCTATACTTTGGGCTCAGTTTTTTCTCCTCTTTCCTTCTCACCAATACTTTTTAGATTGAGATAAAGAGCATTAGTATTACACAGTATTGGGCCGACACTCTAGTTATGACCGAACCATACCATTACATACACATCCCTATCAATCATAATCCACTTTTCATCGACTTTTTTCCCAACGCATGAAATGTTTGTTATTTCAGTTCATGATATATTGCATGTGTATATATATTTCATATGTTTATATAAGTATATAAGTTATATACAGGTAAATGGCAGTGATTCTCATTGGTAATTCATATGCCGGTGCACTTCTTACCTGTTAATGGCTTTATAGCACACATAAGGCACAGACAGACACACACATAGAGAATGAAACGATTCCAACACATCTCTCAGGCCTAAGACCTATACATCTAAACAAATATATGATTAATAAAACTGTTGTGTGTGTTATAATACCCCCTGTATTAGCATTTTTATTAATTTTTCTTGTTTTCGGCACTACTTTAGCGTTCATACGAAACGTATAACAAATTATTAGTTTTATAGTTAACACTCGCGAAACAATCCCTGAATATATCAATTTCTTCAACACTATATCATAAATAAAATTTATAACTTATATAATAAATAAATACTATTCTCTCTCTCTCTCTCTCTCTCTCTCTCTCTCTCTCTCTCTGCAACATTTATTATTACACATAATATATTTACATTACAATAAAACTTGTATAACAAATATTTATTTATTAATTTTGTAATATTTTATTCAAAATTAAAAACACATTACTTATCGATTAATATATTCGCACTAGTACAAATTGTTATTTTAACTATCTAAAAATTAAAATTCTTGAATATTTTAAGCAAATCATTTTGATTATAATTATAAGTTTAAAATAGTTAATAATGCATATTATTGCTAACCAAACGGTGCGACTCGCTGTTAATCATGTATAAAAACTATTATATTTAAGATAATAATTAAAATTAAAAGTATAATTATTTTCTATATAGAATCCCCCATTTACGTTCATAAAATACAACCCTGATGCAAATATTTATAACCTAAATGGTGGTCTTGTTGTTCCTTTATTAGAGACAATTGCTAAACAATTAAATGTAACTTTTAATTTAGTTTATTGCAATCAGGATTGGGGCCCATTTCCAGTAAACGGAACATGGACAGGTATAATGGGAAAATTAATAAATCAGGTAAAAACTTTAATACATTATTTTTAATTTAAATATCAATTAATATTAGAATTAAGAAACCGGTTTTTATTCTTAAAATTTATACCAAAATGTATACTAAAAATTAAGTTTTTTAAAATAATAAAAATATACAAAAATAATTACTGAACTTATATATGATTTAATTCACACAATGGATTACAATTATAATTCATGTAATAATGTAGGAAGCAGATTTAACAACGGGACTGTACATGGATAGCGACCGATATGATTCACTTGACTTTACTTTTCCCTATTATTTTTTGGAAATGTCATTTACGTCTCCTTTGCCAACGATTACCCATTTTAACAATTTATTGCAACCCTTTGACAATTATATCTGGTTATCAATCGCAGCTATGATTGGACTAATTATAGCCATTATATTTACATTTAGCAACTTATTTAATAAATATTATAACAATTTTGTTACTTTATGTTGGACTGTGCTCTCAATTTACCTGCGTCAAAATACTGGCAAACACATAGTTAATAAATATCCGGTTAATCTAGTATTATTCCTATGGATATTAATGGCCAACGTGTTAAACATGTCGTATTCGGGTGTAATTTATTCGCTTATTGCGGTTCCCATAGAGAATCGCATTGAAACCATTGGTGAACTTATCGGGAGTCAAATGGCGAGTGAAATAAAGATAGTGGTGGCAAATGGTACTGAACACCATATGATTCTGGTTAGTTAAGGCTCGATATACACACACTGCTTATTAATATATGGTAAAACAATAGAGAGAGAGAGAGAGAGAGAGAGAGATTTGGCTGTTCACTCTACTAATTGTATGAAGTAGTGTAAAGATTCGGGCATTGTTAGATCATATATTGATAGACATAATGTCTGTATCAATTTTGATCAGTTTTATAACATTAGAGTAATTGATTGCTGCATTTTTAGAAGGCAATTAATAAAACATATGGAAATGCGATAACAAATTTTATCAATGTTCCCCCTAATACCAAGTTTGATTATTTAAAATTTTCAAATGCCAAATACGCTATAATTGACGATAAGAATGTCCTGGTTTATTATCTCATGACAAATAACATCACTGAACATTATGTATCAAATACTCTTGATAACAATAAATTAGCCATAATACTCAGTTCACTTGGTATGCCAAGGAATTCGGAATATACAAGATTATTTAATAACATGTATGTAAAATTTTACTTATCAACTTGTTAAATTATATTAAATTATGCTAAATTCTAATGCTTTACATAGCGTTATGCGGATCGTGGAAGCAAATCTATATAATTACTGGACAAGCACATATTTCACCAAGATAGATTATTATTCACTTTATAATTATAATTATATTAAATCTAAACAATATAATGATTTGGATTATTCAGGCTTGAGTTTTGTATTTAAGATGTGCTTATTTAGTGTAATTGCGACAATTATTACATTAATATTAGAAATGTTTGTTAGATATACCTTTTAAAAATTATTATTTCAGTACAAATATTTATGTAGATTTTATTATTGACCACACTTCAGTATGAATAATGTGGTTTATAGGATCGTTCTGATATTTTGGTTCAGATATTAAGTACATTATATGCTAATTTTTCGCAATATCTTCCAGAGTGACCTCATTTTCCATAGCATCACTGTGATCCCCCGCAACATTGCAACCATTATCGGTTTAATATAATCCCCCACTTTGTCTAAATCATCACCGTAAATTATTTGACTAATGAGACCAGATTCCAAATTGGACATATTAAACTAAATGAAAAAATAACCATCATTAAATTATTAAAGCAATTAAATTAACATTATACATGGTAGGATAATAACCGTGGTTAACTATTGTAGCGCCAGTGTTTTTGCCCTTCTTCATATAGTTAGTGTTTCCTGCATTACACTTAGCGTACACTTAGTATTTCAGAGAACAGTTCTCTATTTGGACCTGCATTTGAACAAAATAAAGAACTGTTCTCCTTTTTGAATTTGTAATAAATGATAAAAATCTTACTAAATTTATTAAATATTTATTAATCTATACAATACTAAACTTTTTGAAAGATTTAACACTTTCTTGATTAACAATTGCTATTTTTTACACACCTAATACAATAAATGTTATTACAAAATTGTTAATAAATAACCTCAATTTTTTAATTAAGACGATAAATTAATATAAAATATGTGTTCTCGATTTGTTCTCTATTTTAACAGAATTTTAGTCAAATGTTCGCTATTTTTAAACCTAAAGGTGGTCACACTAGTTACACTATAAAGTGTGTATTACAGAAAAAACTGACCACAAATTGAAGTGCACAATGACATAGCGCCAAAATATAACGCAATACGGTTCTTGTCTTACAGTAAAAACAAAAACATTTTGTGTTTGTAACGTACCGTAACCGAACGAAATAATATCAACGTGATTGGCGCGATTTTGACTTTCATAAAATTGGACCGATCGGGCGTATAATAGGAGATTCCGGCTTTACCACGATCTGCCAAACAGTGCCAACTCGTGCCAAACTCATTGTCCATATCATTTACAATATGTTTGCATACCGTAACAAGGTTTTGACGCTTTTGACGCTTCTTCAAATGTAGGCTAATTATGGACAAAGTTTTGGCGGTCATCTCTGCGTCCATAGTTTTAGTTAATAGCTCGGGTGCCGACTGGTTATGCCTACACTCGGCCAGTAGCTTATAATCATGTTGATTAGATCTGCCTAAATTACTGTTTATAGCTTGTGCATTTTTCAACGCATCATTTGTCTGCTTTAATGCCTGGATTTCTAACTTTGTTTTGTTAAGTAACTGATTGTCGCTTATATGTGTTATTTGAGCAATATTATTTTTATCCGGTTCATTTTTCAACGCAGCATTTGCCAGTTTTAATGCATCCATATCTAACTTTGCTTTGTTATGTAACTCATGGTCTCGAATATGTGCTCTTTCAGCGACGCTGTTTTTATCCTGTTCATTTTTCAACGCATTATTTGCCTGTTGTAATGCATGTTGTAATGACCAAATTTCTAATTTTGCGTCGCTGATATGTCGCCTACATTCGGCCAGTACCTGACGGTCGTATATACGAGCCCTGTCAGCAGAACTATTTTTATCCTGTTCAATTTTCAACGCATCATTTGCTTGCTTTAATTCCTCTTTTAACGTATTGATCTCTAAATTTGCTTCTGTTTTGAACGCCTTATGAATTAACATATCATCAACTTTTGTCCTTTTGATCATGCTATTTTCGGCGAGTAGTGCGACAATACAGTCGTGCCCTAATTTCCTATCGCATTGACATTCTGGACACTTGGGATCTTTAAATCGACAGTTGACTGTATGCCTCGATAAGTCATCGAGTTTGACCACTTCTTGGCACCCGTGGCCCCAGTAGTCGCACCGTATTTTAAAACGACCCAAAGTGTTCATTACTAGTCTATATGATTGAGTTAATTAATTATATTTATATTTATAATTTACCATTTTTAATTAAACAATACATTACAATAACATAAATAACTTATATAATTATTGTAATTTAAAATAGTACCTTGGTGCCTTAGATAGACCACTCGTATTAAGTGGTTTTCTATCATAAGGACAGGTATTGTTAGTCGTAAGCCATTGTGCAATACAGTCCTCGCAAAACATTTGCAAACAACAGGTTGTGGTGACCGGAGTGTTGAATATCTCCTGACATATACTACACATATATTCTTCCCGATCATCGGCCGACAACTCCGGAAACCGATCGGCATTATACCCGGCCATTTTAACCCTGATCTTTTAACAAACAGGTTATTAATACAACTTTAATGATTTTATATAAACAATTATAATGGCGTTTAATTATCAAATATAGTTAAACCAATGCCTAGTAATAACACTTGAAATATGATAATTCATAGCAACAATAGTAAATAATTCAAAACATGTTAATGATTGGGATGTTTTCAAAATGTGATTATGTGTAGTACTCACATAATTTCCTATTTTAATGTAAATGTATATGTGTTTTAATGTATTTAAGTTATTTAACTTTAATACAGCATAAATGTATATATCAATTGTTTGAAAGTTTTAAAAACAAATAGCAGTATTACACAGCAATTGATATATGAGTAAAATAATTGTCATAATTTTACCAATTCAAATTCCTTAAGTCTATTTTACATAAACGATTACAAACGTACATATAACAGGCATGGTAAAAATTAAATACATAATATCATAAATATTTTAATGATCATTAATAAAATATAAATGTATGCGTATGCAGGTTATTTGTCTATTAAAATACATGTAATTAGAAAATGTTTACTAGATTATTTTTATTTTGTAATTTAGTATTAAAGTAATAGTTTGAAAAACAAATCCTTTGTTAATTAAAATTTTATATTTTTGGTCCAAGAATTAAATCATTTTAAACAAATTTTAAATTATTTCGTCGATTTCAAAATCATATTAATTTAAGCAAATGTTTGATAAACTCAATTGAATTTTAAAAATTAACAGTTACTGTCACTTTTAATAACACCATCATCAATAAGTTTTGCCTTAATCAATTGATAAATGCGCAAATTGCTCTCGGTGTTGAGCAAAATGCTTTTTTCATCCCAGGGCAAACTCTCCAAGTCTTCCGTAACAATTGACGATATCATAGACATGTACGCCTGTAATACAAAAAAATTCACCATGCTCAGCATACTAGCCGCTGAATTGTACGAGTAGTGCGACCAGCTTTCACCATACAGTTGGCAACACTCTTTCCTATAATATCTAATCATAGCCTGTATTACCCGTTCATCGGGAAACGGGTCAGCGGTCGGGGAAAAGCCGTTGGGTTTGTAAATACTGGCCAAAAAGTAGCCAAAATCAAAGCCCCGATTGCCGTAAGCCGTGTAGTCGTAATCACTGATCACTACTGTATGTCCGGCAGTGGTGTTGTCGTCAACCGACCCATCGGTGACCATAATATTGCCGCCACAGAAGTCATTGTGAGACAAGACTAGAGGTGCGGCCGCGAAGTGTTTCCCGATATACCGGGCCATCCATTGAATCTCTGAGCGCAAGTCAAACGCCAATAGTGTCTGACAATTGTGTTTACGGTAACGCGCGTTGCGGTCCTCAACGAACGTGGTGTTCATTTTGGCCAAACACTGGTCAAAAAATACCAAAATCCAGTCCCTCTGGCGAGGTATCGGTGCCCTCACGGCGTGAACTATGGCCAACTTTCGGCACAACTGCTCGACCAGTTTGCTATTGTAGAGGTCTGCGCGGCTAAACTCCCTGTGCCTGTAATAATGGAGTACTTGGCCCGTAGGGTCGAGTCCGTACAGTCGCGGCCCTAAACCAAGCGCTGAGACCAACGGTGCTATAATGGCGTCCGTAAATCGGGGACACTTTGGGTCAAATAATTTGATGCCAAACTTTGGGCCATTAAACCGCACCACCAGTTCTCGGGGTTCATCAGTTTGGTGGGCACAGGTGTTGGGAGAAATTGTTGCGATGATTTGGCACAAGTAGGTGCTGTTTACGAGACCGCCGGTGAATCGTGTGCACCGGATGTCTGCCGCTGTCACCTGAGACCAAATGCCGGCCACGTATTTGCGGCACATCTCCAGACATTTGCTTTCTATGGTCTCGTTATCGCCGTTTGTCACAGCGTTTGGCACTTTGTTTTGCTGTTCAACCATATTGTCACTTATAGTATAGCTGTGATCTAGCTAGTTTTATGGTATACTAGAAATAATTAGTCATTTGAGTTATTAATACTAATAATGTATACATATTTTTATTTTCAAAAACAATATGCTAACTCAATTTATATAATTTATGAATTAAGTAAATTATACAGACTGTATGTATATAGACTTGTGTGCGACTAAATAAATTACTACATAATGCACTCAAATATAATTTATTTTAATGTTATTCAATCTATCAACATTATAAACAATATTAGCCCATATTGTACTTAATAGTATCACTCATTGTACTTGATATTTATCACGATCTTTTGTTATTGTAAAATTTTATTTATAAATTAATTATCAGTAAACATGTTAAATTATATCTTATCAATTAGTATACAACAAAATAGTGTTTCGTTTTAATTATTTTATTTAATTGATTAATGTGAAGTAAACAAATAATATAAAGTAGTTTTATTAGAGCATTGGTGGCTATTATTATGTAACCATAGTAATCTTGGTACATCTGATTTTAAAATTATATAAATTATACAAACAACTAATATATTTTTAAGGTTTAAAATATGATTATCAATACTTATATAAAATATAATTTATTGCTTAAAAATAATAAATATTCTTTAGAAATATAATTTATTTTGTAATATTTAATATAAATTTAGAAAACAATATTGTTTAAATATTACAGAATGACATTCATTATTTTATTATAATATCATTCAATTAAGCTTAAATTGACACACATACAAATACAACAAAATAAATAATATTTTCTTACTTAACATTATAAATGTTTAATATCATTCTCATTAAACGTTTAATCAAATTAATAAGTTTACTAATAACTAAATTTAACTAACCATGTCTTCAGCACCCGTACCAACACTGGCCTATTGGGAGGGTAGGGCTCGGGCTCAACCCATACGCAATCTATTGATATACTCGGGCGTGAAGTTTACTGATAAACGTTACCAGTCGGCAGAGCGTAAGGCCTGGCAGTCGGATAAGTCAACACTGGGTTTGGATTTTCCAAACCTTCCCTATTATATCGATGGAGACCTAAAACTGAGTCAATCGACGGCTATATTGAGATATTTGGGCCGAAAGTATGGACTCGTGGCCACCGATGACCGCCAGCGGGCCCTACAAGACATGGCTGAGCAACAGATCCTTGACATGAGAGAGATATTTCTGAAACTGATAGCACGCGCCGAAGACCCTGCGGTAAAACATGATGATTATATCACAACTATTTTAAAGCCACAGTTGGATCTGTTGGTGAAGTTCTTGGCTGACAAACAATGGCTAATCGGCGGACAGTTGTCTTACGTAGACTTCATTGTCTATGAAGTGATGGATTGGTTGAGACGATTCACACCCGAGACTATCGGCAAATACGCGACTATTGGCCAGTATTTGGATCGTTTTGAAGCCCTGCCGGCCATCAAAGTCTACCAAAGCTCCGGTGAATACAAGCCGTGGCCGGCGTTTGCACCACATTTTAAATGGCGGGGCATTTGATTGGATCTATGAATGCAAAAATGATTGTCTATTAATTTTTTGTCTTTTATTTTTATTAAATTGACAATGTTAATTGGATTTAATAAATAATCTTAATTCAAAATAAAATATTAGTTATTTTTATTTATAAAAACTCAAATAATTGTCTCAAAAACGTTATGTAATGTCCTTGGTTGTTTTGCAATAATAACACAAACAATTTGAGAGAGAGTCTGTTAAAATTAAATATCATTGTTAAGAATATTCTCGATAAAATATGCATGATTACAAAAAATGTTTGTCAAACAATGACAATCCTAATTTAAATTATGTTTTTATACCTCAATATTCACTTTATTTACATTTGTTTCTATGCGCAAAAACTATAAATACAGAGCGTTTTAGTAACTTAAAACTATTTGTCAACTTTTACTTTTAAAAACTTCAATATTTATTGTGATTTTAAAAATAATTGTATACATATCTAGTTTATTTTCCCTACAGTATATATAAAAAAGCAAACATGTCATCAAAACCCACTCTAGGCTATTGGGCGTCGAGAGGTCGGGGCCAACCCATACGCCTACTGCTGAAGTACGCGGGCGTAGAGTTTACGGACAAACGCTATACCGACCCAAAGGGCTGGCAGTCGGACAAGTATACGCTGGGCCTACCCTTCCCTAACCTTCCCTACTATATCGACGGCGACCTAAAACTGACCCAATTCTCGGCTATAATGCGCTATTTGGGCGAAAAGCACAAACTGGTGGCCGTCACCGGTATCGACCGGCACCGGGCCCTACAAGACATGGCTGAGCAACAGGTTCAGGACATGATGAACGGCTTTCTGAAGGTGCTCTTTGATCCGGAAGGTGAGGCCAAACCCCAGGCGTATATCACCGGCACTCTGGAGCCACAGTTGGCACTGTTTGCCAAGTTTTTGGCCGACAAACTGTGGTTCACCGGCGGTCAGGTGTCTTACGTAGACTTTATGGCCTACGAAGTGCTCGACTGGTGGCGCCGATACTCGCCTGAGTCGGTGGCCAAACACCCGACAGTTGGCCAGTATTTGGATCGCTTTGAAGCCCTGCCGGCGATTAAGGCTTACCAGAGTTCGGCTGAGTATAACCCGTGGCCAGCGTTTGGACCCCGGGCTAAATGGACGGGCAAGTAGTGAGTCTATGAGTCGTAAACCTATTGCCAGCATTAACTGTATAACTGTTAGAAATAAAATGTAATTCACAATTCAATAGAAAAAATGTGTTTTTATTTGATCAGTATTTTATAAAAATGATTTTATGATTAATTATCAAAAATGAATTAAACCTGATAACATTGATTATGGAATGACATGTAGATTCATGACTTAACATGCTTATTTGATACTTTTGATACTATACAAAAATATATTGAGCTGATCTACATTATAATAAATCTTGGTGGCGGTGGTCAGATAGCTGTTGTTGCCGTCCACCATCGATACGATGCACTGCCAGTTCATATCCTTATACTTAGCGTCCATTTTACGGACAATATAAAGGGCGATGTCTTCCATTGTGTCCGACCGGGCGATGGCGTTAAACGTGATCGCCTTAACCGACTCCACCATATTTGTGGCCATATTCTTCTTCAACACATCTATCTTTTGACCAATTTTGTTGCATTTGATCCGTGCCTTCAGGTTTGACACATTTAACTAGATGGACAAAAAACAAGTAAGTGAACATTAGTCATTTACATTCTTACATTTGTGATCAACTAAACGAACAATATAAAATACTGTACAGTGTAGTTTTAGTACCATGTAGTGTAATATTTAAATATTACCATAATAACTTACTGTATCGGTGCGGTACACCAGCACTGTGATCGGGCCAAATTTGACCGTCATCAAATAAGGACTAATTAATGACGCAGAGTAGGTCCGGGCAGCAACGCTATCATAGGCCATACAGTGCCAACTGGTGCCGTACTCCAGGTCCATTTGTTCGCACACACGTTTGCACACCAGGTATAAACTAGTCTGTTTAATAAGTTGCGCTCGGATTATGGCCAGGGTGTTATTTGTCATTTTGTCGTTCATATTATTATTCAACATATGGTATGTCGTGGCCGACAGGTCTCGCTTACAGGCGACAAGTAATTGATGATGGCCCAAGGTTTGAGGCAACTTGGCACTTTCTAACGCGTCGCGCAACGCCTGTTGTAACGCTGCGATCTCTACCTGGGAGTCGCGCCGGTGTGCCTGTAATGCCTGCAAACACTCGTGACCCGGTGTCAACTCTACGTGGCCTTCTGCGCACACTACTCGCTGGGATGTGTCGCGCGAATCAACCAAGGTGCAATTGTCCAGGTATTGCGCCGCCCGGTTAATCACCCGTTCGTTTTCTAATTGTTTTTTCAACTCGTTGTTTTGGGCCAATAGTGAGCTAATACAGTCGTGTCCCGGTGTGCGCTCGCAGTGACACTTTGGACACACATCGCACTTATAACTACAGTTGACTGTGTGTTTGGGCAAGTGGTCCAGTTTGACGACTTCCCGGCACCCGTAGGCCCAGTAGTCGCACTGAATTTTAAAACGACCCAAAGTATTCACTATCAGTCTATATCGTTACGAGAAAAATTAATCATGGTCATTAATATTAGTACTTTTATTTGCCAAAGTTAATGAATATGTAACTTATTAATTACTTTTATCATGTTATAAAATAATCATATAACTAATAATATTAAATAACTTAAGGTGCTTATGTAACTAAGTAAGTATAACTTAAATATAACTGATAATTACCTAGCTGATCGAGAAAAGCCACCCGTCGTCAGTGGTTTTCTATCGTAAGGACAGGTAGTGTTAGTCTTAAGCCATTCAGTGATACAGTTCTCGCAAAATGTTTGCCCACAACAGGTTGTGGTGACCGGAGTGTCAAATATATGCCGACATATACTACACGTGTATTCGTCCCGATCGTCGGCCGACAGCTCCGGGAACCGATCGACACTATATCCGGGCATTTATAACGAGTTTATTTAATTCACTTTTATTCGCGCACAAAACAAAAAGCACACTTGGTTAAGTTTGTTTGCAAACAAACTATTTGTGCTATTAGAACAAAGCATTCCTGTGTAGAGTGCATGACATCTATGGAATGTTTTCATGATCAATTATTTATATAGAAATATATTATGCTAAAACTTTATTTAACTTTTAACTGATTAGTTTAAACTAATATTTTTATAATTATAATTGCATTCGCACACAGTATATTTTAACATTAAAATTGTGATTCTCTTTTATTTTAATATGGAATTTTAATTAAAAATTTACATAAAAATAGCAAATTAACTAAAAAAAACTAGTCGCATATGTGAAGTTGATCCACCAGGTAAACAATATATTTTGTCGTATAGTTGGCAGTATCATCTTCGCAATCTCGCGCGCTAACCACACACTGCCACACATTTTGGCGATATTTGGCCTTCATTTTGTCGGTAATGTCTATAGCGATGTCTTTAATGGTGTCGAACCGGTCGATGGCGGCGAACGTAATCTTTTTGACCGCTGCGATCATGTTTTCGGTCATTTTAACCGAGTTTATTACATCTATGTTGCGGGCAATTTTGTTGCGCTTGATACGGGCCCTCAGGTTCGGCACATCTAACTAATTTTAAAACAGATATGATTAATTAATTGTAATCTACAGTATATAACACCCGGATTGTAATCACTTACAGTGTCCACGCGATATACTATAAATGTGATTGGTGTATATTTAACTATAATCAAATTACTAGTTTTATTGGCTGTAGTGTATATAATGGTCTCATTCATCGAATATGGTACACAGTACCAATAGGTGCCGTACTCCAGGTCCAACTGAGTGCACACATGACTACACACACTGTAAAAATTATGTTGTATAGTCAAAGCGGACCGAATTATGGCCAACGTTTTATCAGTCATATCGGCGTCCATATTGTTATATGTCACCTCGTGCGCGGCCGTAAACAGGTGTTGTTTACACGCGGCCAGTAATTGACTATCGCTGGGAATGACCAGGTCACTTTTGCGTGACGTTTGTAACTCGTGTTTTAGCGCGTCGATCTCTACCTGGGCATCGCGCCATTTGGCTCGCAACGCGGTCAAACACTCGTGGCCCGGTGTCAACTCTACGTGGCCATCCGCGCACACTACTTGCTGCGAACTGCCACCGCACGAATCGCCCAGGGTGCAATTGTCCATGTATTGCGCCGCCCGGTTAATCACGAGTTCGTTGTCTAACTGTTTTTTCAACTCGTTGTTTTGGGCCAATAGGGCGTCGACACAGTCGTGTCCCGGTGTGCGCTCGCAGCGACACTTTGGACACACATCGCACATATGCCGACAGTTGGCGGTGTGTTTGGGCAAGTCGTCCAGTTTGACCACTTCACGGCACCCGTAGGCCCAGTAGTCGCACCGTATTTTGAAACGACCCAACGTGTTCCTCATCGCTCTTAGTTGGGAAAAATAAATTGGTCATGGTCATTATTAATATACTGTATAAACTTTAAAGACTTTAAAGTCACAGTAGCTAACTTAATTCTATGTTAATATAAGTAACGAATACTAACAAGTATTGTAAGTAATTAATAGTTTATAAACTATTATTAATGATAATTAAATAATTAAAACAAAAGTATGATATGTTTCAGAAATGCACCTTGGTGGTTGAGACAATTGGCTTTGTGTTAATGGTTTGCGATCGTAAGGACAGGTAGTGTTGTTATTAAGCCATTCATTAATACAGTCTTCACAGAAAGCCTGCAGACAACAGGTTGTGGTGACCGGAGTGTCAAATATATGCTGACATATACTACAGCTGTAGTCCTCCCTGTCTTCGGCCGACAGCTCCGGGAACCGATCGACACTATATCCGGGCATTTGTTAATCAATTTATTTAATTAACTGTTAATCCAATACAAAAAACAACAGTTAGTTTGTTTGCAAACAAAAATACTGCTGTTTTCAGTGCACTGTTTGGTAGAGCATAACACTTGGCTGACATCTGTGGGATATTTTGCTGATTTGTATACAAGTATATATTGTGCTAAAGAATTAAATCAATGTGAATCAATTAATTATAATAATTAATGTGAACGCTTGAGGTAGATTATCATTTTATGTTTAGTTATCCACTCCGTCAATATATATCCGCCAATCTGAAATTCGAATATCTCCTAAACCAAATGAGCTGGATTAAATCTGTAACTTGTGAAATGATGTCCCATATATCTAGTTTTTTACTAGAAAAAATTATTAAAATATATCCACTCCGTCAATATATATCCGCCAATCTGAAATTCGAATATCTCCTAAACCAAATGAGCTGGATTAAATCTGTAACTTGTGAAATGATGTCCCATATATCTAGTTTTTTACTAGAAAAAATTTTAAAAATCACGTGACTAGAACATAGAAATTTTTGGGTCATTTCGAAATGCTATGATTTTAGCCCAATTGAAAGGGGTGTCGGAAGGGGGCGGGTATGGGGTCGGGTAGATGAGATGTGAATGTCTATGATATGAAAGTTTCATAAACATCTAATAAGTATTCTTTCGTAGCGAACAATATATTCAAGAAATTTGGCTCAATATTTGGACAAAAATAGCCCAATTTCGACCTTTTTATACTACATTTTAGTAGTTAAAAAAATTCAACTCCAGAACAAATTTTCCCATAGACATAATGTTAATGAAATCATCAATTTCTCGTAGATGGCTGAACTAATCCTAATCAAATTTTGCCATCATATACTTTGACATCTCCTCTATCGAATAGCATATCCGCCCCTTACCGACCCCCCTTTTAACTGGGCTAAAACTATGACAAATCGAAATGGCCCAAAAATTTTTATGTTCTAGTCACGTGATTTTAATAATTTTTTCTAGTAAAAAACTAGATATATGGGACATCATTTCACAAGTTACAGATTTGATCCAGCTCATTTGGTTTAGGAGATATTCGAATTTCAGATTGGCGGATATATATTGACGGA